CAAAAATCCAGTAAGTCTCTGTCTTGAATGTTATCTTAAATTCTAATTATTTCATCTTTAAAAGGAGATAGTAGAACTACTAAAACTAATGGATGCCTAACAGGGATGATTAGAGTGGCTTCCATGTGAGGAAAGAGTAAAAAGCTGGGATTCCTCAATACAGAGTAGAAAATGAAGAAGTAACTTCACAAAGTTCTGGAAAACCCTAAGCCATTTATTATTGAAAGTCAGAGGAGTAAAGCTGGTTAGGGATCTTTTTATAAAGTCCTGTAGTAGTGCTCTTCTGAAAAATAATATATTGACCACTGTTTGTTACACTACATACACTCCAAATCTGACCAATCTGATAAATTATTATGCAGAATTGTTTCCACTAGATGTAAAACATGTATTCCACTTCCTAGACCACTGTATGACTATTCTTATCAATAGCACCAATTTATGCAGAATAATGCAAAATAATTCTCAGGCAAGAGAATTAGTGGTTTTAGGAAAATAGGCTCAATTCAGACACGTAAATAAAAATTTATAAATAAGCATAATGTCCCTTTTATATAAAAAGAAAGAGTGCATGTTGTCTCTTTGCATCACTACTAAAATACATTCTAATGACTCAATAGATGAATCACTAAAAAAACTTTCTTGTTACTTAGGAATAGAGAGTTACAGATGTTTTTAACATACTTGGTATAGTATAATATAACTACAGAATCATAGAATGGCCTTGGTTGGAAGGGACTCTAAATGACCACCAAGTTCTAACCCTCCTGCCATGAGCAAGGACACTATCCATTACATCAGGTTGCTCAGAGACCCATACAACCTGGCCTTGAACCCTTCCAGGGCATCTATAACTTCTCTGGGCAACCTATTCCAATGCCTCATTACCCTCTCATTCTGTTGGCAAAAATTTAAGAAAAGTTGTGTAGAGTAATCAACTTATATATCATGTCAGTCAAGCTCATCCAACTAATTGCCCACTGTAATTTGGAATGAGCGCACAGAAAGTTTCCAGATCAGAGGTATGAGTCCAGGTACGTCTGAATCTTTGGTGTAAAGAAAATAAAATACCTGAAAAATACAGAGAAAAAAGATTTTGGTCATTTTTAAAGCCTGAATGGAAAGAAGCTGTGACCTGTGACTCCTTTTTTTTTTTTTTTTTTTTTTTTTTTTTTTTTTTTTTTTTTTTTTTTTTTTTTTTTTTTTTTTTTTTTTTTTTTTTTCCACTCCTGTTTCTGCTTATTCATAATTTTAAACTTGGAAACTTGGAAACCATCATCTGAAAAACTAGCAAATGTTTTTCTTGTGTCCTCAGAGATCCCCCAAAGTCTTAATAAGTAGCTTAACTTATGTTAATTTTGGCAGCAGAGGCAGTTTATACTCGAACACAGGATTTCTTTCCTGTTCTTTGCCTTGACATGAATGTCTTCCCTTAGCTTGTCTGTGGGTTATAAGCCGGGGCACCCATGCTCTTTATTCCTCTTTGGACTGAAATCCATGCATGCTTCCATTCTTTAACTGGTGTGTCTGGTGTGTAAACAGGGATAACTAAGTAGCTGAATTTATTCACATGATACAGATATCTGGTCATCTCAAGATGAGACAGCAAGAGACCCTTGGGAAAGCAAATTATATGGAAGAGGCTGCAGTCTTCCCAGGATATTCACGAGCCTTCCCGAAACAGTCATCAGATTTGTGTCCTGGTCTCTTTCCCCGTGTGGGTGCTTGGGAAGAACAGTGGTGTAGAGTGGGCCAAAAGCCAAACTGTTTTGGCAGCAGCAGATTATCATATAATGAAAAGAAATCCATATGGCTTTTTATATATTTTAGCTGGAATGTAGCCATGACGTGATAAAACAGGAATACATGGTACTGGCACATTGTAAGAGCATACTCCTACTCTGTTTGCCAAGGTCATTGATGAAAATAGTTAAATAACATCAGCTTTAAAACCAATATTTGGAAAATTCCCTATTTGGCTTTTTCCAGAAAACTAGTTCTTCTTTCATCAGAGCTCCTTGCCATCTCCCTTTCACGCAGTTCTTCAATAATTTTTTTAAGTTTCATGTATTAATTCCCCATGCTCACTAACATTGTGCATTTTCAGGCTGTTTGATGTCATCAATCAATCATGTATGCTTATACACCTATATTTATTTTTCTGTCCCCAAATGATGAGAAAAACTTCTTTGTTGTATGTTAAACCACCAAGACTCCTATGATGCCTAAGCACACATGTCAAGGGATTTAACTAAACTTAATATGACCCATTAGTAATAGCTAAGAAAACCTAACAAGTCAAGTAAAAAATAGAAAAGAAAAAAATGGTACCCCCCCCTTATTTAAATTAGAGGAAATTCACATAATATAGTTCATTATAGTTAATGAAATTGTCTGCTTGACAAAATGTAGTCAAGATTAGGGACTGGGAAATCGAAAGCTCAATGCTCAGAACATTTGAATAATTTTGTGGGTAAACTTGAGTGAACAGAATGGAATCTCTTCCATCCTTCTGCTGGCATATGATGCTCTGCTCTGTGTTGGGGCACAAAAGAAAGCTGGCATAGGAAAGAGAGGTGGATTCCAGTGAAATTCCACTTCATCCAGTGAAATAAAATCCGTGGCATCTGAGCATGAAAAAAAAAAAAAATGAATGACTGAATTGATCCTAGTAGGCTTGAAGGGATTTGGATAGTACAGATCTGGGGTAAAGATCCATTCAGAATTAGTACAATAGGTCTAAATTTATGCTATTGCTTAGTTATAGTTTGTTATAGCTCTGCAACTGGTCAGCAATCTATGTTTGGGCCGTAGACGAGAATCTGCAGCCTCTGTGCAGTTGATTTGATAATAAGCACTTGATACTGTTTATATGATTCCATGCACCTTTATCCATTTATTTAGATTTACAACCCTGGAAGACTTAATATGATTTTTGTGTTTGATAACCCTTTTACTAAAGGTTTGTTGAAAATCTGTGGAAGGTAAATGCAAAAGCTTTAACTATATTCCGAATGAATATATAGTTCTGAGCTGTGCTTTATAGAGCAAAATTCCCTTGAAAAAACGTAAATCTTGAACTAGGGCACTGATAAAAGGTGAATTTCACTACATACCACTAAAAGGCCTGGAGGTGAAGTTCAGATACATTTCAAGTAATTGTATGGCACAGGTATTGTGTTACTTGGTTAAAATATAACTCCTGTAGCAAATAAACAGATCACAGGTCTTTACATCTATTCTTTTTGTGTGCCTTCTACAGAGAAATAATCCTTTGTTGTTGGTTTTCTATCCCTTTTTGCCAGAAGCTCAGAGCTTCCAACCTAAGTGGTATGTTTTAAGTTACTGTAACACAGCAAATGGAACACAATTCCTACAACCAGAAAGGAAAAATTTTGTATTGATGGAGATGTTTGAGTTTTTTTATTCACAGGAAACAGAGTAGAGGTCTGCGTGTTATAAATAAATTGACTTCTCTGTACTGCTAAGGAGAAGCAGAACGGCTGCTATGAGCATTTTGGAAATATCACCAATTGATAAATGTGCAACACCATGACTTCAACAAAATTAATTTTCCCATCACAAAAAAAGAACAAGTTCAAGACTGGTTATACATTAAACAATCAATTAATGGAGACTAATTCAAGAAAGGGAGACCTTGTAAATGAAAGTCATACAAAAAAGGAAACAGATTAGTCTTTATATTAAGGTTTCTGTTCAGTGTAGTTCAAATTTTTGTCATTCATTTAATAAAGAACTGCAATTTCCAGTCTGAAATTCATGGAATAATGGAGGGCTTCATGTTAAACATTAAACACAAAAAATACCATTTTCTGTGCACATATGTATAAGTACATAGAGATGTAGTTATAAGCAACACCATGTCAGTTATAAGCAACACCAACTTTTGATGGTGGTTGTGCAGTATGTGCTTAAAACAATGCCTTGAAAATGAGGGGTTCTTCTGTACATGAATGGAAGTCTTCAAATCAGTGTGCAAGTTGTTGGCAAAATCTAAACTGAATGTTTTGTAGGAGGAATGTGTAGGAGGCTGGTTACATCTTAGCTTACAGAAAGAGCGATCATTTTTTATTAAGAGTTAGACAAACTGTATTTCTTCTAAAGTTTGAACAGAAAAGCAGTTTATATTCTGCTCCAATTCATTCTGCTCTAATTTTAAAATGGAAATTCTAACTCTAAAAATTTACCAATATTTTGTGCAGGAAGGCAAAAAAACTATTTTAAAAGCAGAGATGTTTTACATTAAATAATGTGCTTGCGCAAAAAAAAATAGGTTTTTACAGACAAACTTGATGAAAAAAACCTAAGTATTTCTCATGGACTATTTTATAAGATCAGATATGTTGCCTGATAAAGACACGTGAACCTAATTTTATCTATTTTGTGTAAAGGAGTTCCCTTAGCAGAGAGAGTAAGTGGCTTTCTAACCCCCAAAATAAGTGTGATTTAAAAAGATATCATGGTATACTCAACGATATTTCACTGATTTTATCTTGACATTTAAGCAATAATCTGAAATCTACAGACAAGTTTCACAGATATCACAGAATATTCTGAGTTGAAAGGGATCCAGAAGGATCACTGAGTTCCACTCTTGCATGAATAGCCCATACAGGGATTGAACCCACAACCTTGGTGTTATTAACATCATGCTCTTACCAATTGAGCTAATCTAATTTACTAGTCTCATAATTTAAAAAGGAGGTAATCTTCCTTGGATCTCTGTTAATGAAATAACTCATTCTATCTTCTTATTTCTACAAGTATTTGAAATACAGAAATACAATGAAAAACTTCCTGAGGAAGAATATTTCTTCTCATTGATTCAACAATCTAGATAACACATAATTCTTTTCCTACCTCTCAGCTTCTAGTCTGGAGAGAAGTACATAATTTATATTTATTTTTATTTAATCATAGTTGTTTAACATGTTTGTTTATTAAAAGCTGTTTGTTTTTATTATATATCCAAAACCAAAGAACAAGAGAACAAAGAGACCGTGCTCTGCAGAGAAATATGTTGGAAGATATGAAGAGATACAACACAATCTACTGATTCAGGTAAAGCACTAGCTTGATGCAATGCATAATTCTAAAGTGATCAAATATTCTTTCTGTGAAGTCTTTCTAACAAAGGACAAGGAGACTAACTCTTCCAAGTCTTACATTTGCATTGCTTTGGGGAAGGGAATTAGGCAGCTGAAAAGACTGAACCTACTGAGCACAGTGCTGCTATGCAAACCTTCCCTACTTCACCTGAGGGAACTCTTAGAAATGCAGTTGCTCATTACAGTATTTGCAGGTCACACATGGCTTGAAAACCAGTGCTGCTGGCTGGGAGGAGGTTAATGTAATAACTGGTATTGCTGAAGGTGATGGAAAGAGGAGACAGAAAGTTATGCCCGTGCAGGGAGTCAGTGAGCAGTGCAGCAGACACTGGGGGTTTGTCTGAAGCTTTGGCTCTGTTGTGTCTCTTCCACTCTTACAAGCAGTTCACCGCTCCCTTCTAAGCTCGCTCTCAGTCAGCTGCAAGGGAGAAAGCTGGCTCTGCTGTGGTTACTTTCCTATCTGAGGGCCATGAAAGGGCCCTGCATGTGGAACTAAGGGTCTTCATTGGGATCCCAGTGACAATGAGAATAAATCATTGGGGACAGCACTCAACACAGAGAAAGAGATGTGGAGGCAACAGCCATCAAAGGCAAGACCAGAGTGTTGCCACAGTCTTTCCCCTGGCATATTTTCTCTCCGTGAATCTACTGACGTGGCTACTGATGTCCTAAGTGAGATACTTTGATGCTGCACCCTGCAGGGAGGAAGCCTGGGACATTTCTGAAACCTTTAGCGCTCACCACTAAAACTGTAGCACCAGCCTGAAGTTGGTATCTTGTTCTTCACTACCCATTTTGAAGTTACAGGGTCTCCACCACAGCAAGGAGACTGGCTGCATCCACAGCTGGGCAGTTTGAGTACAGGAATTTTCATCCTGGCTTCAGACAGGGAGCTTAGCCCACAGAGGATAAAGCACTAGAAACACTGTGTGCTGCTTAATCCCACAGGGCAATGAATTAATGGAGCTAAGAAAACTGCCAGAATGAAAAGCTGAAGTGGGCAATAACCAAAAAACGTAGGGAGGGAGGGAAGGTGGAAAACTTTTACTGGTGAGGCACTCTGTATCTGCAAGAATCAAAAGATATTTTGATTATCAACCATATCTTTACCAAATGGCTAACTCTGGCACACTTGATGGGCACAGCAGTTAAACAGGAAGCTAGCTGAAACCACAGAAAAAGTTTAAGGACTATTTTTATATTTTATGTAGCAACAAAGTCTTTGAGGGTGTTATATTTAAAATTAATGAAACTACAAAAAACTAGTGATTTTATTTAAGAATTAAAAACTGATCAGTAACCTAGAAAGAGGACCAGACTTTGATTCAGTCTGGAACAAAAGAACTGGGGGAAGAGAAAAGGAGTGAAAGAAAAAGCAAAGAAGTTGGGCAGGCATCAGAAACAGTCCAGACCAGAACGTGTGGGCACAACTCCAAAGCAACAAGACTGGTTTAAAAAAATAAACATGAAATATCTCATGCAAATGAAGCTAATTTAAAAAGACAGAGCTCTAACAACTGCTCAGGAGGATATTGGAGCCAAGACAATGATCAGCATGTATCTAAATTTTGTAAGAAATATAATGATGCAGGAGTTTGTAAAAACTCCTGTATGCACAAAATTGAGAAAAGTGCCAATAGCACCACAATCATGTTGTCCATAAGAGCATGAAAGGAAATAGATTATCAAATTATTTTTAAACTTCAGACCGATGTACAAAAGAGTGTGCTGCCAGAAGTGGTTCCTATTAGTATTAACAGCGAAAATGGGTATTGCACAGCTAATTCTATAAAAGAAAGCATACCTAGGAAAAAAATCCCCCCCAAAAGAAGAAAGCCTAGGAGTAGCATGGAGTACGGTTGTTGCCATCATAATGCTTTTGCTCCAGCAAATATCCCTTGGAGAAATATGTTTCATAAGAAGTGTGCCTAGTCTAACTGTTCAGCACAGTAATCTGAGAATGCTACTCTGAACTGTGAACATTAAAGGAAAACCTTAACACAGAATAAAAGAAGCAGAAGAAGTTAGTTGAGGAAGCAGCTGTGGTCAGGAAAAATGCTAGGAAGAACAATTTCAGTTGTCTACAGATTACTCTAAAGGGAATATTAGCATAATCTTCTTTTCAGGAGTGTGAAAACTGCAGCTCAAAACTGCAGATCATTTGTCTGTGTGTGAGGCAAACAACAGAAATGAAGCATCTTAAATACAGAGGAACTCTCTGAGTACAAGAGGCTTTAAGTCTATCTGGGAGGCAAGCATTCCCCAAATGGAACAAGAATTTCAAACTGTTATTGCCAGCAGGGGACTTGGAGACTGGCACTCTCACAGTTCTCTATTCCTTTCCCTAGAGAAAATGGAAAGGGTTTGTTATTGTTTGTTTTTCCATCTTTATAAGCTGGCAGAGATTCTTAAAATCAATGAGAACAATAACATTCAATACATAAGTCATTTCCAATCACTTCATTTAAAGCCCATTTCCATCTCTGAAAATTCTTCCTAGTCCGTGGTGTGTCATTTATTGTCAATATTATAACAAAATATAAGAAAGGGTACAAGACACCTGAGAGCAGCTGCAGCCCTTCTTGCATATAAGAGTAATATGTGGAGAAAAGTCCAAACATAATACTGGTTGACTTATTTAGTAAAGATCAAACAAAAGCATAGGACTGAGGTCTCAAAGACTAAGGTTCTGCTCTGGGAGAGACCACAAAGAAAGCATTATACCTTTTAGCACTGGGAAGCTGTAAAAGTATATTGCTGGGCTATATTGCAAGCTGGAGAGGAGAAGATGGTGTGTTTAATTTTTTTACTATTATTTCATTTTGATAAAAGGACAAAGGTTCAGTACGTGTTATGGAATAATTTGTGGAAAAGGATCAATGAAAGTCCTCAGAGATGGGAAATTCTGAGAAAGTCTACGATTGTTTTATTTGAACCTTAGATTAACAGTGTTGAGTTTTTTGAACTTTGTTATAGCTAAACAATCCAAGTCAAGTGAAAGCCCACATCAGTGCCACAGGAAAGAAATTGTCTTCTATAGTAAAGCAAATATAAATTTATTTAGATTTAGTGTTTCACATTTCTGTGTGAAAATACTCCCATGCCTGAGACGATACCAGTTACTGGGAGAAGATGAAGCACAACTTACTGTCTACACAACTCATCACATCAAAGATCCAGTTTGTCTGCCCAGTAGTGGTTCACACCTATGTCTTACTCCACCTACCAAATGTTTTGAAACTCAGAAAGAGTAGACATCGGTGACCAGTGTGTAGTATCTGATTTCTTCTGAAAATAGAAAAAAAGCTTATTTTTTCATCAAATTACTTTCAGAAGTATCTATAGAACTAAAGGAATCCTAGCCAATAATCTGGAATCATGTGGAAGCAGGACACAGAGTCAATTTTTTCTTTTGTGTTGAGGAACACAACCATTTCAATGAAATAAGGCACATATTACTCTGGACTAAAAATACACTGTACCTGAATCTATGCAGCCAGAATTAGGGTGACTGGCACACTTTGGGATACATATATATGTACATATCTGTGCTAGCACTAAAATGGATAATTTTGGAAGCAATATAGGGGAGAAAGTAGCCTCATAGACTTCAGGGTGAAGAGAGTCACATCTTAAGCATGTCACTCAAATCACTGACAGGTTTGCACTGAAGGGAAAAACCTCATAACACAACCAGGTAGATTAGGGCTTGTATGAGCATGCCTCCATGTCCTTCAATCACATCTTCAAATCCAGTGTGGGCATAGGATAAATGGATAATGGTATAAAAGCATTAAATGAAAACACCTGGTTCAAGACAAAGGAAACAGTAAAAAAATCCTGAACAAACAAAAGCAGTAGGGTGATGCAAGAAGGGATTAGGGTATGGATGTAGTCAGGATCACAAAGTGTAGTGATTTAAAAGGAAGGGGAAGGCAGAACAAAATGTTTTGAAGGCAAAAAGCTAGTGCAAACTTCAAAAAGGCATGGTCAAATCAGGGTTTTGCTGTACAAGGGGGCTTTTTTTATTATTTTTTTTTTTAATGTGGAATTGAAGGAAACAAGTATAGATAGCCACATGAAGTCTTAGTAACGGAACGTGACCAAGCTGTGTGGTGTGAAAAACTGGCTGGAAACTTTCTTTGGACACAATCTCGTCATTCAAAATCCTTTGTCTAAAAGCCTGTGGGTTTCCACAAAATGAGATCTCTAGGACAAAAATATCTGACTTTTTACTTTACAAGAATTTCTTCCTTTATCCTAACCCAAAAGACAAGATGGGTCCAGATCTTTATTGGTGTGTAATAATGAGTATAAAAGACTAAAGTGCCCATTTCAGGCCTTGGCAACACTGTTAAAATGAAGAATTCATAGAGGCATATTATCAAACGGAGCAAGGTCAAGGGTTTAAAGCTTTCAGTAATCTGGAAAGAGTCCAAAATTTTATCCACCCCTTCCCCTGGTTGCTTGACATTTTAATGGTAAAAAAGCAATATCTAGTTTCCAGTTGAATATTCCAGAGGGAAAAAACCAGCATGCTGGTTTGATCAGAGTAATGGTAAAGCTTGTGAAGAGCACAGCTTCTTAGTGAATGTACACAATATTGTACAGAAAAGCCCAGAGAAATAAGAAGCAGTTGTATGAATCAAAAGTGGGCCAGGGTATTTTGGCAATAATTACACTTATCAATATAGGACACAAGAGTTTGAAGTGAAACCTCCTGAAGAGATCAGAATTCTATTTCTAACCTTTCTTTCAAAAGCTTGCCTATACATAATTTCAATGTGTTTCTTTCTCCATTTGAATGGATGTTAAAGAGTAAGGCTTTGAAAAACAAAATTTCTGTGAGTGGCTTAAATCCATCCATACTCACTAGATGCTCAATTAGGTGAACCAAACTTTTCATCATTTGACAGAGGTTTAATTTAATTTTCCCAGGATAAGCACTTAACCATATCCATAAAGATCTGATTTTTTTTTTTTTTTTGAAATTACTTCTGGAGCTGAAGCAAAACCTGTTAAATACTGGGAAGTTATAGGTAGACTAACATTCAACATTATTTATTTTAGATCTAAGGGTGTTTACTTGAGATATTCCTGTAGAAAAAAAAAGTTACATACTGTACTATACAATTGCTCTTTGAGGTAAACCGTCATCAGTATTAGGGTAATGTAACCTTCTATTTGCATTGTGGAATGTACTTTGGTTGTATTATGATATTTCGTGAAGAATGATCTCTGTAAGAGGATGAGTCAGAGGACTCTTTCCAGTAATTTAAAATCAAAGATTAACAAATATTTGCTTTACAAAGGGGCAGATATTCAGTTCTGCTTCCTGAAGGCAAGGGGAGATAGTTTTTTTTTTAGAAATGGAATATTTTTAATGACATCAACTGTGTTTGTATGCAGTATCAAGACTGATGAATTAAACCAAACTTTGATGAGGAAAAACCTTGCTAAACTGAAGCAGGCAGCTTACCTAATCTTGGGGGTTTTTTGCTTCCTTTGAAAGCTAAAATCAGGTTAGAAAATGAGAACCAAGCAGCTCCAAATACAGTCAGTACACTGTTCCTACCTTTTGAAGAAAGCTTCAAAATCCAACAGTTTCTCTTGTGATTGTAGAGAAGTCCTAATTGGGTCTTATTTTTCTAAATACTTGGAAAGTTTGGCTACTTTACTCTATGTCCTTCTGTGAAAATATAGTATGAAAGTGAGTTATCACTAATAAATTTAGATCAGCTAAAAATTTTAGAAGAAGGGACAAGTCAGTTTGAAATGCCAGGTCAGTGGATAACTACTCTTCTGACGCCAAATGTACTGGGTCTGGCCAAGGTGGACTGAATTTTCCCCATAGCAGCAATCACAGTGCTGCAATTTGTATTCATAGCTGGCCACACAAAATAATCAAGGTTTCCCTCCAGGTTAAAATGTCTGTACACTAGCTTATCCCTCTGCCATAACATCTGCTTACGGCAATGCCACGCATTTTCAGCAGTCTATGGAAGACTCCTGCAGCTGATCAATAGCCAGGGCTAGATAATTTAAAATAGTTTTGGCAAACCCTTTTTGACCAATATAACCTCAATAACCTCTGAAGCAGCGTGGTATTTACTTGTCTGAATTCACTGCCATTAAATGATTTGCAGGTCCTCTAAAAGAGATTTTATGATTTGCTGTCTTAAAATTAAGCTTCACCTCAGTCATTCTTATCGCGATAATAATTTTCTTGCCCCAGCCACTGAGGTACTGGATGTAGTACAGGCAACCAAGAAAAATACAATCTCTTGCCAGTTAATTTTCATAATATGATTCATTAGGCTTGTTTTCAAACTGTGTCTTGAATTGTGCTTCACAAGAGGAAAAGGGTAACATATCACAGAATCATATAATTACTTGGCTGGAAGGGGTGTTTAAAAGGACCTTTAAAAGGACATTTAAAAGTCCCAGCCTACACACCATGGGCAGAACGAACTTTTGGTAGATCAGGTTGCTCAAAAACTTGTCCAGCCTGACTTTGAACATTTCCAGTGAATGGCATCGACAGCTTCTTCGGGCAACCTGTTCCAATGTCTCACTACCATCATCATAAAAGAGTTCTTCCTTTTATCTAAATCTATTCTCTTCCCATTTCAAACCTTTACCCCTTGTCCTGTTGATAACTATAGATGTTGATAAAAAGCCTCTTTATGTCCTTTTTATAAGCCCCCTTAAAGTACTGAAATGGAAGCAGTACTCCAGGTGGGATCTCCTCAGACCAGAGTAGAGAAGGAAAATCTCCTCCCTCACCCAGCTGGCCATGATTCCTTTTGTGCAACCTGAGATATAGTTGACTTTCTGGTCTGCAAGTGCACATTGCCAGCTCACATCCTACTTTTTGTCCATCAGTATACCCAAGTCCTTCCCAACAGGGCTGCTTTCAACCAGTTCATCCCCCAGCCAGGATTTCCCCCACCCAGCTGAAGCATCTTGCACTTGGCCTTTTTGGACTTCATGAGGTTCACAAGAAACCAGTCCTCCAGTCTGCCAATGTCTCTCTGAATGACATCTCTTCCCTTAAGCACATCAACTGCACCACTCAACTTTTTGTCATCTGAGACCTTGCTGAGGGTGCACTCAATCCCACTGTCTGTCATCAGTGAAGTTATTAAATATTATTCATCCCACTACAGATACAGAACGGGAATGTTGGCAGGGGAATATTACTGAGGGAGTGGCTGGGCATCAATGGTTTGGTGACCACTTGCTGATGTCAAATGGCAGCAGATTTTGAATAAAATTTTTTATGTGTCCAAAGAAGAGCAACAAAGCTGTTAAAGGGTCTGGAGCACAAATCTTATAAAGAACTGCTGAAGAACTAGGGTTGTTCAGCCTGGAGAAAAGCAGTCTCAGGGGGACTTTATCACTCTAGAACTACCTGAAAGGAGGTTCTCCCAAGTCACAAATGATAAGACAAGAGCATATATGGTCTCAAGTTGCACAAGGGGACATATAGGTTGGATAGGCAAAATTTTTTCACAGAAATGATGTCCAAAGACTGGAACAGGCTGCCCAGGGAAGAGGTGGATTCACCATTCCTGAAGGTATTCAAAAGACCCATAGGTGTGGCACACTGGGCCACAGTTTAGTGGTGGACTTGGCAGTTTTAGGTTGTTACGACCCACCCCAGAAAAAGGGGAGGGGGGTAACCCAGATTCTCATCAATAATTCCTTTGGGGTGGATTAGAGTGAAATGACACTGAATAATCGGTGTTTGAAAACATATATAGGTAGGGTTTATTTCAACAGTTTTTTTTTAATTTTAGCATTTTGGGTGTTGTCATCCATGTTATCTATCATAGGGATTACCCCTGGGGGGAAAATGTGTAAGGGAGAGAAAGGAAAGACAGGATAAGGGTAAGGGAGAGTAAGAGAAAGAAAAGCTGAGTGGACAGATGTATATAGTCACCACCCACGGGGTCCAGCGATGACACTTGGTAGTTGCAGCTTCCATGTCTGTCAGTTGAAGTGGAGGCCTCGATCCATTGAGGGTGAAGGAGGGAAGCGTCCACACTCAAAGAAGTTATGAGTTACTATATCCATGGTTAGTGTCACAGACCATGCCACGAGCCTCCAACATCTCCTGAGTCTGTGCTGAATTTCCATGAGGGGCCTGGCAAAAGGGTTTTTCCTGCCTTTCGAGATTGGTGAGGGGGGGGGTGTGGGCTTTGATGGGCCATCAGAGGTCTAATGCAAAAGTCCTGCAGAAACCTGCAAAAGTCCCTTGGCAATCCTCAAATGCATAAATCATTAACCATTTCAGTCTCTGACGTAGGTTAATGGTTGGGACTTGATCTTAAAGGTCTTTACCAACTTAAATGATTCTATGACTCTGTCATTCTATTTGACGTACACTGTAATCAGTCTGGGGAGATCACTGGCTTACAATGTTGCCTCTTGCCCTCCCCACCTCGTCCCAGGCTGGAAAATATTCAGTCTATTTATTACATTTGTAGCCATAGTTAACTAAATTATGTAGGGGTAATCAAGTTTCTTGCTTCAGGGTGTAAACCAACAAGGGACATGTGCACTTCATGGATGGCACTGCAAATTTGGAAACTGCATGTAAAACTCTTCCTCTTCTGTTCAGACATAGTGTTAACCACTAATTGGACCAGAAACTGACTTTTTTTTTGTGAAAAAGCATTATTGCATGTACATGATATGGAAGCATGATCTATTCTACTACTGAAAAAAAGAAATGGTACCTTCATCTGTAGAATTTTGGTCTTTTATTTTACTTCAGGAGGGAAGGAAAGCTGATAAACTGAACAGCTCTAATGGTCTAGTGCTGTATAAACCTCCTACCACAATTTAATTCTTATCTTATCAACTTTAAATCTCTTATGAATGTGGAAATTCATGCTTTCCATACTAAACTGAGAAGGGACTTAGTCCATATGAGACAACACTTTTCTATCAAACACTGAATGTTTGCAGCCTTGACAGCATACCATTGCAAAGTTAGGCACTTTTTACAGAGATCAGTTAAGGCACATACTGTCTTTTCTGGTGTAATGTGTCGTGTTTTGGGGACCGTTTCAGAATTAATGAAGAACTATCAGAACAGCGTATTCTGTAAAGAAGCTATTTCTTGAAGAAGAGTATAAGGAACCAAAACAGGGGCTTATCTATCTAAAATGATGATGATGATGATGATGATGATGATAACAACGACTTTTTGATTGTCTCAAGAGACTTTCTAATATCTCATTCTTTCTCTGTGTTCTTTGTTCTCAGACATCAACTTTTAAGGGTTTGACTTCCTAGGAACTGAGTAATATGAAGTAACATACTAATGTATCTTTCTGCTAGTAATGCAATATTTCAGAAGGACGAAAATTAAAACATCTTCAAAGGAGTGAAGAGCCTGTGAAATGGCAGTGATCAGAACAGGTGGGAATGGTTAAAGTAAAGTAAAAATGGGACTGAGAAATGAATTTGGGATTTTTGTGAAATCTACTAGAAGTCACTAAACTTCTCTTTATACTGCTGTCCTCTACAAAACAAAAAGTTCACATTTATTATGTTTGTGAGTTTCAGTTAATTAGTGTTTATTGGTGTTTTGAAACACACCAATTGAAAGCATTTTGTATGCAAAAAGTGAATGTTGTTATAAAACATTTTCAGAAGTAATTTCAAGATGCATATTAAATTTGCAATGAAATACGAAATTATCTGCCTCTCTGAGATGAGAGAAGAACCCAGCTTCCAGCAAAAGTAATAGAAATTATAAACTTGATGGCTGCAAGTTACCTAGCAGGTGACACTGTTATAATTATAATTTCCAAAGAAGATACCCAGTAAGATCCAGCATTCTTCCTGTTTAAAATGTAATTGCTAAGATTCTGTGTGTCAAGAGTCATTATATGGTGCCAAAAGCCTTAATGCATGTATAATTTTTAATTGAGCTTTAACTCGACTTGCCTTGGCAAGCTTTACAAAGCTTTAACAAGCAGCTTTAAATTCGGCTGAGTGATAAAGCCAGAGCCTTAGCTCTAGTCACAGAAGACTCAGTGATAAACAAGACCTAAAGCAGCTACAGAGCTGCACTCCCAATGTCCTCCTTGAATGGGAACCCAGAGTAAGTTTGCCAGCAAAGCTGATCCTTGATTAGATTTGTTCGGGCAAGCAGTGTGCATTAAATGTTGAAGCAGATATGCAGACATAAAATATAGGTCCAGAGTTAGTGGTGTACACAGCAGAGATTCCTATCATGCATTGCGTTGCAAAAGTTCAGTGTTCTAGGGAGGACAGCTGCACGTACTTAAGGGGAGTCCAAATGTTGCAAAGCATAATCCAATCTTCCTCTTTGTTGACTTACACTCCATGGTTAAAAAGAACTGTGCATTTTATCCCATCTTACTTCTGGAGGAAGAGCTGATAAGCCTTACAAAACCTTCTTAGACTTTTAGGTTTCTTTTTAATATGCATTGCACACAAATATTAACAGGATTGCTGTAGACCCATAATTCTTTCCTCATCAAAGGCCGATCAGAATTTAATATTAACGATTTTAAAGAGACAAGCTTTTAGGCCCAGAAGTGTGCATATAAATAAAAACAGTGCTTTTTTCAGCTCCATAGTTAATGAAAGAAAAATGACCTGTATCGTCTCTGGAGATAATTAAATCTCACAACATACTTTTTTCAAGATTTAGGTGCTAATGGAAATAATAAGAAATCACTCAACAACTACTAGTGAGCCTTTGCCCATATCCAGCAAGTTTATTAAATGTTTGTAATCTCTGTTTCTATGTCCTGCAGGAAACAAAAGCAGGGTTTTTTTGAAAACTATGAAGTTTTTTTTTTTAAAATCAGATATGTCTTGAAGAGCAAGTAATATTACTGACAAATATTGATTGTGAAAATGTTTTGATATGTTGACTTATGTCCACCTCGTATGATAATTTTCAGAAATACTATTTTATATGCATGATATGTATTACCACATTGCTCAGGAAGCTTGTCCATCATCCAGAAAGAGAAGGATAAGGAGAAACTAGGGAGAAAAGTGAATCTGACCTAGAGGAGGTTACATTGGTTAAAGGATTTCCAGAGCAAGGGTAAGAACAGAGCACAGGAAGGGCCTGTTAGGTGGTGACCAGTAGTGTGGATCTTCCAATGCGTAGAGATGAACAGAAGCTGTGGACAGAGAAACATGAAGCACTGAGAGACCCAGTCCTCATGCTGCAGAGCTTAAAAAAAGGAAGGATGGGGTGAGAGCAGAAAAGTCATGGATGGTATATCATCATGGCTAGGCTTCGTGAACAAAGAATTTGGGAAAGGCTCAATCCACATTTGTAACATGGATCGTATATAACAGAAAGTCAAAGAATTGTTAAAGACTGGAGGATTATTATAAAGAACTGCAGCAAAAGTTAGTGTTATGCAGATGGTAATTAAATAATAGCTTTTTGGGTGGATTTAGAAACAATACTCCTGATCATTTTAAAATAAGAAGATGAGGTAATGTGCAGACCAGGGGACAGACTGATCATTGACTTGAAGGCTGGCATCATCATAGATGAATTCAACAGGCTATCAGAAAAGCCAAAAGTCCAGGAAACTGAAGAACTTCACTCCAGAAAACAGACTGATGGCTAAGTACATTTGATACGAGAACAAATGGAGAAAAGTGGCTTTGGGGCTGCTGCTCCGAAGAGGGAGAAGCTTCCAAGCCAAAGGTGACAAGGTGGGGAAAGAGATGAAGATGCCCAGTGCCTAAACTATTCTTGATATGAGAAAAATTGAGGTTACCTCTATGTCAGTGTATGCAGCACAGTGATCCAGGAATGACAGTTGCAAATAGGGGCAAACTGAAAGGTCATGAATGTCTCAGTTCTTCATAAACCTCAATTAGAATCATGCTAGAGATGGAGCATGCACTCCAAAAACTTGGAGTGTAGGGTATAGGACAAAATGTAGGGATGAAGAAAATGAAGAAGTCAACTGCATAGAGAAGGCATGTGGTGGCAAAAAGTACAGATGGAATAAATTCAACTTTGGGACAGTGCCACCCCAGATGATTAGTAAGAGCCACAGGAAGATGTGCAGGTGGTGTCTAGAACCCGTTAGTGTTTGAAAAGGGAAACTGGAATGCAGGAAAGAAAAGCGACTGTGAGCTTTGAAAGCAGCAAGGATCAAAAATGAAAGAAAAAAATGAAGCAAATGGTAAGAGACTAGTGAGAAGCATGGGTGAACTGCAGGGAATATTTAAATTACCCTCTGAGAAGTATTTAAAAAAATGCTATAAAGTCAGCATCTGTGGAAGTTTAACATTCTTTTCCTGTTCTCATTCAGGCAGCTTATACCTTGTTCCATGCTGCTGAAGTCATCTCTCTCCTTCCAGTGTGACAGTATGTACTCTTGCAATTGCATCTTAATCTTTCTTAGGGTTAATTTGTAGCATGATGCTTAATAGCATGCATTTATGCAATGTAAAATTTCTTCTTGATCTGGATTTTAAGGATCCAAAGTTCTATAACACATCATAGACAAAAACCAGAGTTTCTCATTTTCTTCTTAATTCTTGTTTCTAGAGATCTGGTTTATGAGGTATTTTTAATAGATAATTTAGAAAACTAATGTATATTCTTGGGGACTCAGGGAAAGATAATCATTATAGCAGGGTATCTGATAGTAACTTGCACTTCACCCAGCCAAAAAAAAGAAGTTAAATATTTTTTTGTACATTATATTTTTCTAGAAACAAGCATAAACATATGCTTTCAAGATTGAATTTCAAGGTGTGGATTTAAATTAAGAAGTTCTATTTTCCTTTATTCTTAATTGTTTTCTCTTTTTTTTTTTTTATTCTTCTCATGGTGCATTGTAGGGGGCGTGTTTAAGGTACAGGGGATGTACCAGGGCAAGAGTGCCCGAGGGAGCATGCGCCGACATAGACAACCTTGTTGGTCAAAGAAGTCACATGGTTTTGAGGGATAAAACCAGCGCTGAATTTGAAATAAAATCTCTTTGTTCACCATCTCACGAGGAGAGTGTTTTTCCTTATTATATAAGGACATGTGCACCCTACAGTGCATAAAATTCATCATTCCTGAGCATGAAAGAAACCAGAATTGGCTGTCCTGTACACCACATTCAGATTATTATACTGACATCACACTGTAAGTGGCTACAGTAAAATAAAATGATTAAGATGTGAAGCCACATAAAATAAGTTTTCTGTTAATTGTGCCCATCTTACCTTGTATGCCAATTTTGCAATGAGTCACTGTAATTAATTGACTGTGCAATAAATGTACTGTAAGTTGAGCATGGTAATAATACTCTGGCTTTGAAAGCATTGGCAGAATGATGGTATTGTAAAAATCAGGTTTCGTATCTTCACCTGTGGATTCTTTAAGGCAGTGGATGCCTTTTGGGTGTGACTATGAAGGACAGTTAGTACAGAGCACAGGGCTCCAGCTGCCAGCTCAGAGCCTGATAGATGGCCAGCACAGCACAGCAGAATGTTCATGAGGTTTGGCACAGTCTTGATCTGAAGGGACTACACAAGTTGTTTCTGAAGTTAGTTTATACCACTTTTGCCCAGGAGTTTCTGTGGCATGGTGCTTACCATGATATTTATTCACATACCCTTAGGTCTATACAGACAAAATGTTTTTCTTCTGTATTTAATTTCTAAATGTAGATGGGGCTGCAAGAAACAAGGCACAAAAACTCCTCTAGGGTGATGGCTGGACTATGATGTATTTATTTTTGTGAATTTGGAGCAATCTGAGATTCTGAATGGCCAAGCTCTTCTTTCTTTAGTTGTCTTTGTTATTTGGCCTCTGATATTAGTACATTTTGACACATGCAATCACCGTTCTTAATATGTTCACATTTACAAGGGGCTAATAACCATCTAGCAATCATAATAACTGAGCCTGTAAAAGACAGGATCTTAAACTCCAGATGCCCAGTGCATAGTTCTGCTCCAACTTTTATAGGAAGTTACACTGACATTTTGTGAGTTAAATTTCACATGCATTTTTGGCTTCAGATAGTTTTCAGTTAATGAGGCACATCTCCAAAGTATGTTGTGTAATATTGGTCACATCACAGAATAATATTTAAATCTTTACCAAAAAAAGAATTGCAACTTATAAGCAGCCTGGAGCCTTGGAATTTTGTATGAAGAAACTGAATTCATTGACATAGCAAGTGAAGAAGTGAAGTCCCTTGTTTTGTACAACCATTACATGCAAACAAAAAGAGTATACAGAATATTAATCTCAAGTACTGACTTAAGACTCTGGATAGCATGGTTGTTTAATTTAATGGTAGCCCAGAAACCATCCTGAAGGGGTGTTCCAATTTTAGTTTCGAATACACCTATACAGCTATATTCACTATACAGCTTCCAGTCTATGTTTTACACACACACTTCTGTGTTTCTCTGAACTATATTTTTAATGAAGACTGAGGAAAAAGGGGATCTTTTAATGTACTTTACAGGATTTCATACCTATTCTGAATATCTCAAACCCACCAAATATCTCAAACCAACACCAAATCTTACACTGTTCATGTAGAAAAAGAATTATTAAAAATGTTAATTAATGGTACCATTGTGCACACTGTGATGTTTTGTCACATTGTGAATGTAATTGTTTTATATTGAATAAGCTGTATAAGAAGACTCAAATAGCACATAGTAGAAAGTCTAAAAAGTGCTACTTTTTTAATGCAAAGAGTGACACAAAACTCACTAAGCAGAATGAATCTTTCTACTGTTTTCAATGAGGTTTAGATGAAGCTTTATGACAACAGTGATTGTGAAGCTGTGATTGTTTATTCTTCATGAAGACTGAGAGATACATAGCAATGAATCACTCTCTTGACTGCTAGTGCTTTATTTAAATAGAGGATAATTTTGTTGTCTTTAGCAACTGATTCTTTTTCCCCCTCTCATTCAAATAAATAATTCTTTTTATTATACCAATCATAGGAAACACAGAGTAAAAACTTGGTAGTCCTGGTATTATTCTTGTTTAGGTTTTTTTGCTTACTTCATGTGCCTTTAAACATTTTTACTCAGTCTGTGATAAACTCTTGTACCTCAGACTGTATTTTGTCCACAGAAGGTGAAGAAACCTGTGAATTCTCTCTGAAAAAAAAAAGAATAATTTCTTATGATCAAAACAATGAAGGATGCTTTCCTACCAAACAAACAGTGCAATCTCAAGGGCATCATCTTGTAACATCTGCATTCTATTTCTGAAATCTCTTTTGATGACATTGACAACACTGAGTGGTGTCCACCCCTCACGACTCACAAATGAGCTGCAGAAGAAGAACACTTGAGCGTCTGGGAAGCCTGCGGCTGGCAGAGTACTCTCGCCACACACTCTCTCAGCCTGCAGGCTGTAACAGAGGTGCACAAATGTCAAGGTTATCTCTGATGGCTGCCCTGTAATGCGGGCACACAGGAGTGAGGTGTGAATCAGGTCTGTAGCCACTGGTGACAGCAGGGACAGCCAATCTGTCAAGAAATGACCCACTGCACACACAGCTCTTGATTGCTAACAGCTGCCTTCATCAGAGAGCAAGGAGAGCACATACAGCAGCACCCGCAATGAAGGGCTCCTTTTCTGGGAGGGAAAGGAGCAATGTGAATGTTTCGTATTTAGCGAGTGTGAAATGTGACTGGCAGTGCAGAAGGGAAGTGCAGTGGTCACAGACCCTGTAAGGACCAGACTGCGGGACTGGGAATGGAGCTGGGGCAGGCCTAGGTATGAGCTCTGCAGTCAGGATCTGGGCAAGGAGAATTCTGCTGAGTGGCTTGCAAGGGGGTTATTTTTGTGAGCATGTGAGAGAGCAGCACATGAAGGCAGAGCAATTTAGCAGCATGGAGGAAGTGAATCGTAGGTAAAGAGAAAATGAAAGAGGATGCGCAGTATAGACAGTTGAGTACAAATCACTGGGTATGACAGCACAGCTGGGCACATCCTTTCTGTGTCCCTGCTGAGTGCCAGCTGCAAGAAAGGCCATCTGGAGCACTGATTCACCAACATCAATGTCAAAATGCCTCTGGGCTCTGGGTGTCACTTTGCTAAAGAAATCCGGCAGTCCTCTTTCGGTCAAAGGTGCTTCCACACGTACCTTTATGAAAGTTGTAGTAAGAGTTACACTGCTGTCAGTTGAATTTCTGTCATGTTTCTAATCTGGATAATTTCTTTTTTAAGCCACTGTGCCTTTGAGAGACTAATGTACCTTCCCATTAAAGTGAGGGCACAGCATCAGGATCTACACTGTATCCTGTGCTAACAACCAAACCTAATCATTACCTGCACAATTTAAGAAGGTCTTATAGCTACACTTCCTAGAGATCTCGCTTTAGGAAAACACTATGCAGCTGAATCCATTCAAAAGGCAAGCAATCTTTGTAAGCTTCTTGCAAGGGTGATTTAGCTACATCCAAAGAAAGTGCAAAAGCCAATGGAAGCAGAGATAGCCTGACTGCCTCTTTGGAGTCAAAAATTTAACGATGCCTCATGGGATCCTTTCCCACTTGTCTCTAAGTGAAACTAGCAACCCAATTTTGTTCTTGGGAAGTCAGTGAGAAAAGGAACACTGACTAAATTTGTTAGCATGCAAGGGGCAGGTTTTGGGATAGTCCAGATAGTCTGTCCTTTCAGTTTATTGTCTTTTGACATCTTCCCTCAGAGTCTCCTGGCAACAATGGCACTTCTGACAAACAAAAACCACACAGGCATTGCTGTATCCCATCAGAATGACAATGACTTTCCATTCCAGTATTTGTTCAGACTGTTGTTTAAGTATGTGAGGCACTACAGTTGAGATAAAAAAAATATTGCTATAGAGGATTTTTGGAACATGCAGGAGAGCAACACTTGCACATGTGGAATGGACTGAGCAAGCATCATTTTTCAAATGCCTTGATGGTGACCTCAATTCAGGTTTTCTTCAGGTACATAGCTTTGGCTGTGAAACAAAAACTGGACAAGAGTGTCTTCTATAAAGCATAAAATTTGCAGAATTAAATTCTTATGTGGTAAAAAAGTTACCACTCTTCAAAAAATGACATTTAAAATAAAACACTGCTCTTACCTAATGCATTAGCATCTACAGAGACAAAAGCATTCAGACATCCGAATTTTCTTCTCAAAGCTTTTATACATTTTTTAAGGACAGTCATAGGTAGTCCAATCCATAGCAAAACAATGAAGTGCCACTCAGCATACTATGGCTCTACAAGAGGTACAAAGGAACAATCCAGGACTCATGTAATTGGTTTTTCAACCTAAGTTATTTTTAATCTTAACCACTAACAGCAATAAAAGAGCAAAGATGTATTTCAAATAGATATATTCAGCTATATTTCTAGTGCAGAGCAGAATGGCACTGGAGGATTATATTTACCAAAGTCCTTTTTATCATGCTCTTGATTGATCTGACCATTACAGAACATCTTGTGGCACATAAATATGGCAAAATGACCCCCACCAGAAAGACCAAATATAAAATGTGTAATGCCAGCACTGGACTACCCACTAGCATAATTTTCCTACCTATTTCCAACAAATTTTTCTTGAAATTTCTCTTCCCTACCAATAAAAATTAGGAAAACTCTAGGCTTGATGGCACTCCAGGGGCACCCTGGAGCATACTTGTGCAGAGATCCTCCTAGTAATATTGACTGTGCTACAACAGACCCAGGTCACTCACAAGGCAGTTTATTCAGCTGGAATGCACCGTGCTGGATAGATGTTGCCAGGAGGCATTGGTAACTGTTTGAGAGATTCCCAAAAAAGGGCTCATTTACCACTTTCACATCCAAGTTAGAGGAGAGCGGGCAAGCTAGAAGCAAGGCGTTCTTGTACCTGTGGCTGCACTACAGGCCTCCTAAAAGGGCCCCAGCTTAAGGGGCACTACTGGATGTCAGCTGCCCATCCCCCTGCCC